GTATCAGTTTCAGTGAAATTTAAAGAATTCTCCTTATTTCAAACAATTTACACTTAAAGAAAAGTAAACTTTTCCAAATGCATCCAACCCTTTGGCTGGAAAATCCATACTAGAAGCTTATTGGAATTTAAGGCTGAAGTTCATAAAAAACGTTCTTTATTGCCGTCAATGGTTTGCATGGAACACGCACCCATCTAAACACCCTAAGCATACGCTTCTTATGCCACTTAGCTCTCATTTTTCTTTCTTCACACAAAGACGGTTAAGAGCGCAGATCTTCTTCCGCCTAGTTTAGTTAAAGAGTAATTGACCTGTTCTATAACTTCAGCTCGATAAGGATCGCTAGTTGATAGCAAAGAACTGGTCATTGTCAAGCTGAGATGACTCTGGTCATATGTGGTCTCTCATGAACAGATGGTTCCCATATCCCCCAGAATCTAAACCTTAGTAAGCCCGACCTGTAGGTAGGCTAAATATCTCTCACTGCAGAGCTGACTGGAACACGGCGAGATGGAATCAATTCACCACTTTTTCTCTCATTTTTAAAGTGTGTCGTTATCGCGATTTCAGTCACTGAGCATTGAATTGAATTAAAGTTTCTTACTTGAACTTTTGGATGCTTCTAATCACAATATCACAAAGAATATGGCGCAAAATTGTTCAAGCGAGGCTTGGAATCTATCCTGCCAAAACCCAAGCACATTTGTAATAAGTAAAGTAACAAGTAAACTACTGCATTCAGTATCGCCGCAAAACTGATATGTAAACTGATGTTAAGTACCACCAAAAAGTCTGCTTGGACTGAGAAGAACATCTTTGAGCCATTCAATACCAAACGGAGCAGTCAGCGCTTTCGCGACTCGGCTCCTACGACACTATTGACAGTTATCTGTCTTGAAGCCAGCATTAACAGCAACAAAAATGTCAGCCTTGAAATCCTAGGCAGAATAACTCTTGCCAACAGGTGCTGCTTTGGACTGAGTAGGCAAATGAAAAGTAAAGTCCTCTCTCGACGAATGAAATCCGAGCTCTACCAGTTTCTCATCATCCGCATCTGGCTATGTGGTGCGAAGACATGAACAATTAAAACATCTGATGAGTCTGCGTTATGAGTTTCCAAGAGAATGTTTTGCGTATGATTTATGGTCCTCTACCAGCTGGGAATGCCGAATACTGCAGCGGATGGAACGATGATAAGATCGTACGAGATGAACGGCGACATTGACATTGACGCAGTTCATGTGGTCCGGATGGATGCGGATACTTCAACTTTGAAATGCTTTCGATGCAGTACCCACCAGTGAAAGAAGAGGAAGAAAAATACGTGTACTCCGTTGGAAAGACCAGGTAGAGAAAGACATGGCTATTCTCAGTATTTTCAGTTGGCACCAAACTGTGAAAAGAAGGAACCGTTTGTATGTGCGATGTTATTAATTCGAAAGAGAAGAGAAGAAATATTTGGGGTTGTAAAATATTTTTGGTTTGGAAGGATTTTATATTAAGAACAACTGATTTCTAAGCAACGATTTATGTAAACTATAAATTTGTAATACAGCGTTTACACACGTACTCACATATAAGTATGTAAGTATGTACACGATTGAATGGTCCAAGAAAGTTTCTACCAAAATCGGATTACAGTTTTCATTTCATGAATATCAAGTGAACGAATTGAGAATTCACGCGCTATTACACATGCATGTGGGCGCACAAACACACCCACACACGCACACTCAAACATATAAACGTCCATGCATAAGCCAATATAATAAAGTATACCTTCACCATGACTTGCAAAGAAAAACTTTGAAATTCTCTACAAAATGGCCTGCCAGCCGAGGCGTATGAGTAACAAAGTGTGTATTTAAGTATGAAATTGTGTACGCCTAAAAGTAGCTTACACAATGCCTATCATCGAACGGCGATCACAACATATACTCGTATACGTATATATATGGAATGCCTAAGCAGACTTTGCCAACACGCTTGTAAATTGATGATGATGATTAAATATGTAAGTGCGGTCAAATCTCATAACCAACCATGTAGGGATTATGCGTGTGGACACTTGAGCAATTCTTTTTTTGCAAACAAATATACGACCATAAGCAAAGAAAAAAAAAAGAAAGTAGAGAAACAAAAGGCGTATAAAATATTTATATGTAACCAACTTAGTGTTACACTTGTTAGTGGCCGATTGTGGGAGAACTGCAATAGTTTTTCATTTTTTTTGTTACCTGAAAGCAATACTTTGGAAAATAAGTTGAAAACTTTTGAAGTTTTACTTTTTGTTGTTAGTTTCTGCATAAGTTACGATTTTTGTCGTACGTGCACTCAGATGATTTTTGGAATAATATAGGTTTGTTCTTAAGCCTTTGTGCAACTTTGTAAGTATGTCCAGATACATACATACATACATACATACATACACGCACGAGAGTACGCTCGGAAAAGTTCTAAATAAGATTTTTCTGTAGTATTTATATTTTCTGTTATGCGGAAGGTTTCAAGTTCGAAGCCTCTCCAGACAAACATCCAAGAAAATATTGAAAAATAATACTGAAAATTAATTTTATCCGACCAACAAGCAAAAATTATAGAAAATAAACTTAAATAAAAAAATTCAGTTAAATTTTTTATATTATAAATATATATTTCTGCCATGAAACAAAGGCTTCTCATAGAAATCCAAAAATCCATCAGCCGTAAGTGGTTCCATTGTTGTTTGTGCGCCCACATGCATGTGTAATAGCGCGTGAATTCTCGATTCGTTCACTTGATATTCTTGAAAGGAAAACTGTAATCCGATTTTGGTAGAAACTTTCTTGGACCATTCAATCGTGTACATACATACATACTTATATGTGAGTATGTGTGTAAACGCTGTATTACAAATTTATAGTTTACATAAATCGTTGCTTAGAAATCAATTGTTCTTAATATATAATCCTTCCAAACCAAAAATATTTTACAACCCCAAATATTTCTTCTCTGCTGGCGTAGACGCCGCTTATGTGATCATAACCGAATTAATAACATCGCACATACAAACGGTTCCTTCTTTTCACAGTTTGGTGCCAACTGAAAATACCGAGAATAGCCATGTCTTTCTCTACCTGGTCTTTCCAACGGAGTACACGTATTTTTCTTCCTCTTCTTTCACTGGCGGGTACTGCATCGAAAGCATTTCAAAGTTGAAGTATCCGCATCCATACGGACCGTACGATCATATCATCGTTCCATCCGCTGCGGTATTCGGCATTCCCAGCTGGTAGAGGACCATAAATCATACGTAAAATATTCTCTTGGAAACTCATAACGCAGACTCATCAGACGTTTTAATTGTTCATATCTCCGCACCACATAGCCGGATGGGGATAATGAGGAGCTGGTAGAGCTCGGATTTCATTCGTCGAGAGAGGACTTTACTTTTCATTTACCTACTCAGTCCAAAGCAGCACCTGTTGGCAAGAGTTATTCTGCCTAGGATTTCAAGGCTGACATTTTTGTTGCTGTTAATGCTGGCTTCAAGATAGATAACTGTCAATAGTGTCGTAGGAGCCGAGTCGCGAAAGCGCTGACTGCTCCGTTTAGTATTGAATGGCTCAAAGAGGTCCTTCTCAGTCCAAGCAGACTTTTTGGTGGTACTTAACATCAGTTTACATAGCCGTATAAGTTTTGCGGCGATACTGAATGCAGTAATTTACTTATTACTTTACTTATTACAAATGTGCTTGGGTTTTGGCAGGTTAGATTCCAAGCCTCGCTTGAACAATTTTGCGCCATATTCTTTGTGATATTGTGATTAGAAGCATCCAAAAGTTCAAGTAAGAAACTTTAATTCACTTCAATGCTCAGTGACTGAAATCGCGATAACGACACACTTTAAAAATGAGAAAAAAGTGATGAATTGATTCCATCTCGCCGTGTTCCAGTCAGCTCTGTAGTGAGAGATATCTAGCCTACCTACAGGTCGGGCTTACTAAGGTTTAGATTCTGGGGGATATGGGAACCATCTGTTCATGAGAGGCCACATATGACCAGAGTCATCTCAGCTTGACAATGACCAGTTCTTTGCTATCAACTAGCGATCCTTATCGAGCTGATGTTGTAGACAATTACAATTACAATTTAACTAGAGTAAGCCGAAGAAGATCTGCGCTCTTAAGGTAATAACTATCCGATGGATACAGTTTACATATATATATACAGTTTTCTTGATTGTAGTCATTTCTTGTGAAAACCCGATATTGAACAAAAAGCCCTAAGCGCAAAGGCGGTGGCAAATTCCTAACTTACCCACCTAACATTGAGCGAACCTAGAAAAAGTTCAACATCCTTCCACTTCAAGCACCTTCTCCTTCTGGAGCTGGAAAATAGGCAAGAGCCTATGGGAGACGCATTGGTAGAACCGGTGATGAAGTTGAAGAATTCTCGCTTATTAAAGCCAATAGTAATCCTTCAAACCTTACTGTAGTTATTGCGAGACAAGTTTGTTAAGTATGACAGTGGGCGTAGAAGTGCTTCCAAATGCTCCACTTATACCAATGAAGCCGTTCGCAGTACATGTTCTAAGCGCGTAGTTAGTGTTTCTCTTTGCAGCGCTAACCACCAGACATTGAGCCGACCGAGAAAATGAAAGCTCTCACACTACTTTAGTTGATAAATCGCATATTTATCCGATGGCAGCTCTATTATTGAATAAGGCTACCGACGATTATTTGACTCTCTCATCAATATTTAGACTCCAAGACAGTTTTCTAGAGACGAGGACTCGTATATAACTTTGCCTAGCAGTTGTAGTTGAACACCTCTCAATGTATGGTGGTTAAAAGAGAGTCCACTGAGGGCCGCCCTATTATTAACTCAATTCCACTGCCATTGGGTATGGTCAATTTTCTTTTTTGTAATCATGACAGTTACTTAAAACTACATTGCATATTATGTATGTATGTGTACATGTATTTTTTTAACAATTTTTCTCTTTGTTCCTCTTACAGTTATTGATCGCCTTTATCTCCACATCATTTTGTGTTTCGAGAGTTGTCTCCACCGCCCATAAAGCTTACATGCGAGGCAGCAGCGATGACAACAGCAATCCGTTTGTGGCAGCGCGACAAAGACTCAAGCAACAACAACAAAAGCAATTCCAACAGCCGCAATACATACAACTCAAAAACAATTATTTTGACGATGATGACAACAATAAAAACAACAACATGGAATACAATTCTTACATACAACAACGACTACAGAACGGACTCGTAAGCTTTGGAGGGCCGAATAATAGAGAAAACACTTCTGGAAAGCGGAGCGGAGCACAAGAGAACGAGTCAGAGCAGCCGACAAGGACGCAGAAGTCGGATTTCAATGAAATATTCAGCGAGTATCAGAATGGCGCGCAAGCACAGAAGAGCAAGGGCATTAAGAGTGATTTGCATGTCGATTATGAGGTGTCTCCAGGCGAGTCACAGCACAGCAGCAAGCAAATGCAAAATGAAATGTATGAGAGTCTTTTGCTTCATTCATTCATACCTCACTTGTAGATGCCCTTTAAAACTGCTTTATTTTTAGTTCCAAGATCTTTCAACAATCCGGCATTTTACGTCGCTCGTCCGCCTTACCCACGGATCAGAGCACGCCCGAGAGTGCAGATGAAGAAGAACTCGACTTGGACCTACCTTATGGCATACAAAATGTACGCAAGCGCATCGCCCGTCACAAGCCGGATCATTCGAAAGCTGTACGTAGAAGTAAACTGTATTTTCATCCATAAATTTTATCAATGAATTTTTCTTTTTCTTTATTTATAATAATTTTCGCTCGCACACAGATCACCTACCAATCACTGTGTCCTACAAAACGTATCGCCATACCGCTAGAGACAACCGGCTATGAATATCGTCCCAGTCACTACATCGAAGTAACATGCGCACACTATACGCCTGCGCATAATTTTGAGTTCAGGAAGAATCGGGTAATCGCTTTTTGTGTGAAATTCGAAAAAAAAATCTCTTAACTCATTGCATGCTCTCTCTTCCATAGATTTGTTCAGAAGCTGGCTTCTCTTGCATCCAACTGAATCGCACCATACATCTGATTAGACGCAACAAGGCTTCGACTGACGAGTGTTGGGAATCGGAAATACGTATTGTACCCTCGGGCTGTGAGTGCATGTGGCCGAAGCATGACAATGGCGATATTGCTGCATATCATGAGGCGCAGAAACGTTTCGGCGCTTATGCGAATGTGCATGCAAATGCCGATTACGAACAGGGCGAAGGTTATCGCCAGATACAACCACAACAATCCGAATTATTTGGTATAAATGGACTACGTCGTAACGAGAATGAGGATGGCGTTGGCTTTGAAGCCTTCGAATACAATTGAGTTATTTTATATCGTTGACGAACTATTTCACTGTTGGCAATGCTGATGGGTAATAATGTGTAGAATGAAAACGGCTAATCCGGCTAAGAGAGGCTTGAGAAGAGAATTTACTATAGCAAGAAGCTTGCAAAAACTAGCATTTAGATTAAGTTGGCAATAAAAATAAAATAATAAAAAATCTATTTATTTATATACATATATACACATGTATGAGTGCGTATCTAAATATTTTATAATAAACAAATGGACATTTGTGAGGTAAAGTATATTACATAGTTTTTCTCTTAGAGACGACTATTTGTTGAGTCGATCCAAAGAGAGCACAAGCACAGCTATTTGTCTGTTTAGAATTTTTCTCAAATTTATGGCGCGTCATCCTTGCGAAAGTCAAGGTTAAACGGAAAAAGTGCTCATTAGTCTGTTGGTTCACCCGGAAATGACATTTGCAGAACAGAGTCACATAGTTCATTGCACCGTCGAAGAGCATTCGTACCTCTAATTCATACACGCTTGTAGCAAACCTAATTATTCAGTGATGTTTTGGTTGCCCCTGTAGTTAACCCAATTAGCCAGTGATGTTTTCGACCTGCATTCCGGCACCAATCAAAGACACCAGGTAAAGGGGAGTACTTCTTCGTCTGCTCGTTCTATGCTTGCAGCGAGTACTGCACCGAATACTAGAGCTAGAGTGTCTTCGTTTACAATTTTTTTTCACAAAACCCAATTACGGTAGCCGCTGTCTATTAAATGGGCTGAACTACATATGTCGGCGCTAATCTCATACGACTCATAGTTGTTTTGTCCCATATATTTGCAGTTTATAGCATGCCAAGCTTTCTGTGTTCCAGAGAAAGCCAACTTCTGTTTTGAAAGCTTCTTTAAATCGACGTCTTTTCTCAATGGGCATGACCCAGAATTTCCTGTCTCCAAATGGATCTCGTTTCCCTCTTGAACTGCCTATATATTCAACCCGCGAAACGCATTACAGTTGTTGTTGCAGTAGCGGCTAACCAACCCTGCTTAGAACTAGGCTAGATGACTCTTAGTCATTAAGATTATCTAACAAGAGGTTCAGAAAACAAGCTGTTTCGACGGTTTCGGACCATAGAGAAAAAGGGGTTAGATGAACTGGTTTAAACGAGCATCCAAAGAGGTGGGATTCATTGCAAGCGAAACATACCTTAGATATGTCGAAGTCGAGTCTGGATAAGTAAGAGTTTTATCTACTACAATATTCAGACCTAAGTTGTGCCAGTATTACGCCGTACTTTTCGTCTTCAATAGATGGTGGTTTGACTCTGAGAACGCCATTTACAGGAAGAGAGTTCATGAAGGTGTTGGCAGACTCTCGGTGAATGGCGTTTAATGCCGGCATATAGATCGTCCTGTCTAGCAGTTTGTTTTATCATAGATGGTGCTTAATGTAATCCATTAGGTCAAGTACTCTGTTTCTGGTATGGCTTGGGGATGGTTCGTCTTATAATAAATGTCTGTTGGAGCGCTACCTACGGTTTTACGTACCGGATATCATCCTTTCGGCAACCGGGAACGCGTTACGGTCGATCCCAACTTTGCAAGGTAGGCAGTCTTTTTCTCTACATTCAACTTTCAAAGGAAGAGCCGTTCTTGGGTTTGTTGAGGACTGCATATAGGCAGATGTGTTTATTGGCTGTGACTTGAGTCAATGTTAAAACATCAAAGAGTAGGCACATATGAAATACTGAAGACATGTAACCTGTGAAATTTTCTTTTGCTTAGTAATAAGAACGATGGGGGTCGCAACAGCCGAATGGTTAGCCATTCAGAGGATCAATGCTCGAGTCCTGGGTCGGCCAACAGCTAAAATTTTAGAAAATTGATTATTCTAGTTGCGTTCGCTCCTCAGCATTCCAAGTGTATTTCTGACATGGTGATGTTTCGGCTATAACCGCGAAAGCGGTGCCTACGTCAATCAAGAAGATGTTGTATCCTGGATTGGTCCGATTGTTGTGCTGTATACACCTTCTTTGCCAACACTGGCGCTACATCACTAAGTACAAAAACGGGGAGAATGTCAGAAGACGGCGATACTTTCTCACCACAAGTCCAGCGCCAATTTTTCGCTCTGTAGTTTGCGTCGTGCCTCTTGAATAACGCTTGATGTCAATCTTAAATTTTAGGAAGTTATTAAACTTTAGGTCAGCGACACCTTCACAATTAAAGACTTTGTCTACACGATTCTTAAAATGCAGGGGTTCCTTATGAAAGGTTTATTGCTTCATTTCTCAAACCCTACGCGTTGCACACAAACGGTTGGACTTTTTATTTTATATCAGCAGAAATATGTGAAGAATATGCTCAAGAACTATGTGCAGATAAATCCAGGACGGGAGACTTCTCACACAGTCGTATCACTTAAACATAGTTATACATTTATAATATTTACTTATTTAAGATCCCAATATGATGGCATTTGTAATGAGAAACAATTTAAATTTTCTGACTTTCTCAATGTTTTTTTTTTTTTTAATTAGCATTTATTAATTGAACATATATTCAGATATGTGAATTATATTTTTCTACGAAACTTTAATTTACAATATAGACTTAATCTAAACATAGTTTGTATATAAGTTTGCAAAGTTGTGATAGGCAGCTGATATTCATGAAAAATATTATTTTTAGAATCACAAAAGATTCAAGGGCTTGTCTTTCATTTGGTGCCAAATTTCTAATGTTTTTTTGCTTAAATCGTCCAATACTGTCTCCTGTGATTGTGTCGCATCAATTACGTGCCAAAATTGCTTTTGCTCCTCACAAATGCGATCGAACACATTGGCAACTTTTGATTGGAATTCTTTCTTTTCATATCTGAAATTTAAAAAGTATATTTATATACATATATATTTATATTTCATCTACACTCTGTTATTATTTCATTTTTTAATTATATCTAACAGCTTTGGTTTTGGCAACATTTCACAAACTAACCTTTCTCCTCCGAACTCGCCACGATTTACTAAGTCTTCAATTGGAGCTTTCAGATAAAATACTGCATCCGGTTTCAAGAGTCCTTTTTCCGGCGCCAGACACCAATCGTAATCCAATCCTTCAAATGTAGTAATAACGTTTCTATGTACAAACAACCTTTCAAAATTATTTATTTGTTTATTTACCTTTGGCTACACTATACGCCACACCAGAATATGAATATCTGTCTACCACCAAAGTAGTGCCCGCTTGAAGTAACTTTTCCATTTCTTTAACAAACTCCCAGCGATTAGCTGAGAACAACAGATGTATAACCTCATCAGTTAGTTCTTTAGAATTTTTCAAGTATGCATTTATTGTGCTGCCGATTTCCGTAGACCGATCAGGAAAGTGCATATGTTTCACCTTCAATCCATGAGTACCAAGAGCATCACCTAAAGCCAATTTTACATTACATATAATAATGCATACAAATCAAACTGAATAAAAGCTTACGCAGCAATCTACTTTGTGATGATTTTCCACTGCGATCGCAGCCCTCCAAAACAATTAAACAACCACGTTTAACGGAAATCATAATATATTAGACGGTGCTTTTTTTAAGTCGTTTGATCTTTAGAGCCGGCAAAATGTCAACAAATAAACATCTGTTGTCCGCAATTGGGAATTGAGGAGTGTTGCCAGCAGCACAAAATAAAAACACACGTGGATGTAGATCAAGCAATAAGAACTAGATCACGCAGAGTGGAGGATGAAGAGCCTTAGTGTTTTCATTCTTCCGTTAATTTTTTGCTTTGGAACATTGTTAATTTACTACTTCAATATTTCTTTATTTGTTAAGGAGATTTTAAATAATTCCAAAATTAATTATACACACGAATTATTAAATTAAGTCAATGACCTCCAATCAAGCTACTTCAACATAAGAAATTACAGAAAAAATCTTGAACTAGATCACTTTTTCACAGGGAATGTTGACTTCTCCAAAAACTTTTTGGCCCACACTTCCACTGCAAAGGGAAAACTGCCACAGATATACTATATGGAAAAAACTTCTTCTCGACAATTTTTCCAGGGAAAACCTACAAAATTATTGCATTAAGTAATAATTCAACATATCTTAAAGTTTCCCATTTTAATTCTTTTAATTTACATAAAAAAAGAGAAAATAAGTGGTAATGAATATAAACTAATAATCGATGCAAGTCAAATGGATAACAATTGGCCAACCTTTAGTATGCTTTGGCCAAACATTATTGCTTTTGGCAAACATTTGGTTGAGTTCATCTTAGATGTCATCACCAATATGTCACGTAGCCCTACGCAGAAGTTTTGTCTTCCATCAGCTTTTGAATAAATCTGAAATTTCTGTCTAATTGCTGACACACATTGAAGACTCCTAAAAATGCTATAACTCTCGTTTTTGCGAAATTTCAACTCCTTTTCATTTATTAATCCCCCACTGAGAAAAGCTGTTAATTTTGTATTAGTAAGGACTATCTTCAAGTGGACAAGCTGGAGTTATGTCAATTAAGCATATGAAAAAGAAAAAGACACATGCTAAATCTTAAATTGGTTCTTGAAATTATAATTGTTCCAACGCAAATTCTCTTAAACACCCTGTATAAAATGCATATTGCACTCTTTTGCTGGTTCCTTTGAATTCAAGAGCTTAACGGAAGATACCGTTTCTGGCTTTTAAATAATCAGAAATAACGCTACTTTATGAACAAAACTTCCCAGCAATATATAAATAGGTAGATTAATTGAAAGAAGTTATTGCTCCATACGATTTCAGAATAGAACATAATATCAGCTCATTTTCAGTTTAGAAAGGAACATGATTTGCTAATTGGAAAAGTGAATTGGCAGCCCTATGCCGTCGTAATTATCTGTCAAAGTACTCTCAAACGCAACACTGTTAGTGGATTTACGAATTGTGTGGTTAATTCGCGGAAATTTTTGGAAATATTGAGAAAATTATAACAAAATATTTGCAAATTCAGTAAGTGTTGAACTACTTTGCTCGTTATAATGTGCTGTATAATTTAAATAAAATCAAAATAGTACCGGTGTGAAATTTTTCCCAAAATCTTTGATATATGAATCAGTTTAATTGAAAAGGTGTTTTGGTTGGGCTGGTGTGAAAAAATTGTAAGAAAATTTCGAAGCGGGTGCAGCAAACATCTGAAAAAGTAGCGCAGCCATAGTATATGGAAGCGGCAAAAGCGAAACTCGTATAAAAGCAACAGCAGAATAAATGTGAAAATTTGTTAAACTGTGCTAGCGAATTTGAAGTATGAAAAAGACTTGATGTAATTTTGGTTGAAAGACAGAGAGAAATGTGTGTATTAACACGGTGCGGTTCATTTTATTTGAGTGCGAATGAGATGACTTATTGCAATAAACCGATGTAAACAAGAATTTGTAAAAAAGAAAAATTATGCGAAAACAAAGTAGAAGCGTGATAAGTACAACGTGATTTTGAGAAAATCACTGAAAAAAGCATTTTTTATATTTCTATTAAATACATAAACATACAGTGAACGATGTGTTATTAAATTGATCATAACTACATGGAACAAAAATATTATGTGTAGTTTGTCCACACGAAGAAATTTTCTTTATTGAAAAAAAGGAAAACTATAAAATTATTTAAAATTTTACAGTAAAAATTATATATCATTTTTAGTTTTTAATAACAAAAAGGCGAAAGACGGGAAAAAACTGAAGGAAGGCGCTCTGTCATTCATACAGCTGCTTTCTGTCATTCTTACCCTTGCTCATGTTTTATCGCTTTTCGCTTTTTATTACGGCAGAGAAATCGAGAGAAGAATAATATGGGGTAACATAAAAGTGGAAAAGTTACCGGAGTAGAAGGAAAAAAGGAAAAGAATTGTGTATAGGTGAGATTAGTGTGGCGTATGGACAAAATACATTTCACTGCGATTTTCTTAAGCAAATATTGAGCAAATTACTTTATTATATTCAAACAAACGGACAGATTTACAAAATATTAAATGTAATATCTGTAAGCCAGTGCTTTTATTTTTAAATAAGATTTGACTAGTATATATGTAGTGACGTGCTTTAGTGTGTATGTTACCTTTTTTGACTGGGCTGCTGGTCGCAGGATTTGTACTTGTGTCGTCTATTCCATTGAATGCTTTCAAATTAGTTAAATGTGAATTAACCAGAGAGTTGGCTTGTGCGACGTATAAATTCTAACTGAAAAAGTTACCTACGAAACTATTTGTGCATATATATGCATAATTAAAGAAAACGTCTTAAGCTTAAAAATGTTAAAACGTTTTTAAAGAGGTGAAGTGTTGTACAAGTTTATTTATGCATTTAATATTATAACGCACACCTTTTTTTTGTTCATTATTTACCTTTATTTTCTTCACAATCTAAGGTGCATTCTCAAATGCTGATAATTTAGATAAAAAAAAGCATTAAACCCTTTATAGGAGCATCTTAGAATTTTATCAGCATCAGCGAATAAGGTGAAATGTCTAATAACAATCCTCATGGACACATAAGTCAACCCACGCAAAATCCATCATGGAATCATTTGCAGGTAAATTTATAAAATTTTTAGTTACTACTATTATTGCGCGCCTCTTGAATAAACTCAAGTTTTTACGCACGCTCACTATTATACTAACAACATAAGCACTAATAATGTTAATATATTCATTGCTAATTAATACGTGTTATATGTATTACAAATAAGCATACGTATCTACATCTTGTATATATATATATATCATTGTAATACTCTATTATACTCAAATACAGATACCATCGTATATACCGAGACAGCCACAATTGGCGCACATGTCCAACGAACGTCCCATGGTGCGTTCACCATCGGCTTGGCATGCGCCAGCACCACCGCCGGACTCTATATATAATTTCATGTCGGCCAATCATAAAAATGTAAACGCAGTTAACATGCTTTAAAATTCTTGAAGTATTAGAAAATAAATGTTACTTAAATTTTATACCCTATGTAAAAGTAATTATTTTTCCGAAATGCCCTATTAACAATTAGAAAACGCTTATATCGGTCTTTACTATCATTTTATGATGATTAAATATTTTTTTTCAAATTTAGTTTTTGACCTTTAATATATTAACAATTGCCTTTTAATTTCACAAAATTCAGTCATCAATTTTTACATGGAATTATCCAAATTAGTTGATTTTTTTAGTTTTTTTATTATCTTATGTTGTTTTGCTGTTATATGCCTACGTAAGTAGCTAAAGCGAGTGTCTTATAAGATTAAATTATAATCGTGTAGAATCTTTCAACTTCATTAGCAAATCTATTGCTATTGCCTTAAAGGTGTTATGATCCATTTATTTGGTCATTGTAGTAATCATTCCAAAGTTACCTGACTAATACTGAATACGCCAGTAAGAACTTTAACTAACTAACTAATACAAAATTGTTTCTATAAATCACTGCTGAGGCTACTTACCTCAAAGTATTACACTCTTAAACTAATTTTATCTTAATATCGACATTCCTATTAATGTCTGTCTACGTCAACTTCTAGCTTGAACATCAAATGAACTCTTTGCTGCCTCGGTCACTTCTGCCGCCATTCGACTCCATGGATTTGTCTCTACAATCGAGTCGTAGTTCCAGCTCACCACTTAACAAAGCCGTTGGTGGCCATGCGCCGGGAATGCTGCCACACGAGTATACTGGTCATAAGCATGCAAGTACACCACAGCCTTCAGGGCCACCACCACCGCACCAACATCAGCAACATTCCCACCAACAACAAGCTCATCAGCACCAACAGCAGCAGCAGCAACAACAATCCCAATTGCATGGCCCAAATAGTTATCCACTGTAAGTAAATTAAATAAATAAAAAATATATTTTACTAATTTTTTTTTTCGATCTTCAGTCATAATTTAGCACAGCAACAACAACAACAACAACAACAACAGCAGCAGCAGCAGCAGCAGCAACAACAATCACAACACGCACATCACTCTCAACTATCTGCGTTACAATCTTCGCCAGCCACGCATGGTATGCAAAGCGGCGCTACACCACAGTCACCCGCATCACCTGCTGGTAACCAAGGCCCAGGAAAATATATGAATACAAACGGTAATGATTGTGAAGGTATGCTACCGCCTGGAGGTTCAAACTCTGGTGGACCGCCCTCGGTAGGTGGCAACAATAATGGTGCAAGTGGCAATAGTGGTGCTGGGGGAGGTGGTGGCGGTGGACCGAGTCCTGGACATCCTTACATGCGTGATTCGAGCGATACTCCCTCCCATTTGGGTGATGGATATGGAAAGGTATCGCATTTAACGCGTAACTACGATACTGAGGTATTTTTCTTTTTGTCGTACAAATGGTTGTACTGATTAATTAAAATTTTTAGTTGCAGTCCAAAGGTGCTGGAACAAAGCCTGTTGAGTTGGTTAGTAAAGATTGTAATTACCCCTCGCTTATATCAAATAAAATGTCTACACATGCACAACAACAATCACAGCAGCAACAACAGCAACAGCAGCAGCAACATCAACAGCAGCAGTCGCCCAAAAAGCGTAAGCGTAAATTTCAATTTAGTATATATTATAGTATTGAAAGGATGTATATTCTCAACGTCTTTTCTAAAGTTTCACCGATGCGAAACTACCATGCGCAACAGCAACAACGTCAACACCACCATCAGCAACAACATCAACAGCCCCCATCTTTCAATAATCCACCACAGTCAGCAATGAAGCATAACGGTCCGCACACACCACCCACACCACAGTCACCAGTTATGCATCAGCAGCCAGGTGGTTCCTTACATGGTATGGACTACAATCAAATGCATTTGCAACAACAGCAACAACCACCGCCACAGAGCGCTTACACGCATCAGCAACACGCTCAACAGCAGCAACAACAACAACAGCAACATATGTCTCAGCACTTGCCACCTCCACCGCCGCAACATGCCCTACACTATCCCCCTCATCCGCACGCACATTCACTTGCACACAGTCTCTTACCTCAACAGCCGACACAACATCAGTCGCAGACGTCGCAGTTGTCACAACAAAATCAGCAGCAGCGCCATGCGCAACAACAGCAGCAACAACTCATACACCCGCCAATGCATTCAACACAACAGCAACAACATCAGCATCAAGCATCGCCCCGCATGCATCCACATCAACATCAACATCACCAGCAGCAACAGCAACAACAGCAGCAACAGCCGTTGCCAACACAACTACAAAACTCGTCACCACCTATGCATCCGTCAATAAGCACACATTCTCACCATACTAATGCAACAAATTTCACGCGCTTAGATGACATGGCACCAGCTGTACCTAATGCGGCAACAAATTCCACTGCTTATAATGTGCACACGACGGAGATGAAGAAATCGTCGCCGCCTACTGAGAGTACAATTATAGCAGACCTTTCATCAGCAGGCGGCACCGCTGGAGGCAATAATGCATACTCCACTAGTGGGAATAGCGTACCCAAAGCGATAGCCGATAGTGCTGAGTCGCCTTCCCCTGAAGGAAACTCGTCGCATTGTGAATCCTTAGACTCCAATAGCAACAGCAGTGGCGGTGGTGGAGGCGGTAGCTATAGGCCACGCCCACATAAGCGTGGTGATGATACAAAGCGAACTGATGCTGCAACCGTAGATTTAGGCGGGGGTTCGATGGCGACACATGGTCGGGAAGAATCATCAAAACAGTATCAGCAATTACCGAGGAACAACATTCCGCGAAGCCCAAAATCTTCGCCACCAGAGCAAACGAGGCGATCACCGCGCAAAGCTGATATGTGAGTTGTTCACCCTGAGCTATTTCTTTGACATCTCTTTTATCAACATTTTTTTATTCATAGTAAATCTCCCGTGAGTAATTTTAACAAATCGCCACCTACTGCAACGGCCAATCTAGGTACGCCTCCCACGTCACACGAGAAGCTGCCAATAGCTTCCACACCAACTTCTCCGACAAGTCAAACAATAGAGAATGGTCGCATACCGGCAGGAGCTGGCTCAGCTTCAAATACTTTATCTGCAAGTTCTAATCCATTTGCAGACACAGAAGTGGAGACAATTGACAAAATCAGCGCCATGATCGCTAACACCGCAAGCGAGAGTGCCACTCATGTGGACGCAAATAGTAATTCAAGCATTAAGAGTGTTGGTGAACGTGAGAGCAGTGTCCTCAGCAGTGGTAGTCCGAAAACGAAGAAACAACGGCAAGCACTAAAGCTACGCAATGCCTCTGAATATAATTCGAATTCAAATGGATCGAGTAATTCTTATGGCGCTATTGGTACCGCGAACAATAGAGCAATGACAATGAATGATAATGCCGTTGCAGTCGATGAATTGCGTAAGGAGTTAATGCAAACAGAACTACAGACCATGGAGGATGCTAATGCTGACCGAAAAGCGACGAAAAAAGCCGAAAACAGCCGAAATGTCAGCATTGAGAGCGAAACGGAGAGTCGCATACGTCAACCGCCGCCGCTAAGTCCACAAAGTAATAGCCACAGCAGCAGCAGCTCATCGAGCAGCTCCAGTTGTAGCAATTCGAGTCACAGCAGCATTGGTAGTAAAACAACAACCACAACACATGCGGAAAGCAAAACATCAGGCAGTCAGGTTGCCGTTAAAGCTGCCATGGCGACAAACGTAGAAGAGGAAAGTAAGACTGCGGAGCAGATCCAAAATGAGAGCAAAATGCAGACACCGACATCTGTCGGCGATGCAGAGCCACTCAATTTGAATGCACATAAAAGTGATACGGCAACATCATCATTTGAGGAGGTAAATTGCTTTAAATGCAATAATAATGACAAATTTTATATTATAAATGTTGCACTGTAAAAATTTCATAGGTTGAAAACAAATTGGAGGAAATGTTCGCCGGTATCGAGGATGAGCCCATCATACCGGAAGCCGAAGATATTACATCACAACCACCTGCGAATACGACTGAAGTAGTGCGGGATTTGAGCTTAGCATTGGAGCTGTCCAATACAAACACATGCGCACAGCTCAGCGCGCCAGCGCCGCAAGAAGCGGCGCAAGTGAATGAGTCTTTGAACGCTTTAACTAAAGAAACTAAGGATATAAACACACCTTTGCATGTACGCACTGAAGGCCCACCACCGACTAAGGCCGCCAAAAAATCCACGCTACCTAGTCCCATACGAAAGACAACAACAGTCAAAGCACAATCTACCCCTGTTACCGACACAGTCGATTCTGCACCAAAAACCGCCGACAATAAAGAGAGCGCCAAAACAACTAGTGGTTCTACAGTTACACCCACGGTGGCAGCTGGCAGACGAAGTGGGCCGCCACGCCGACGTCTTTCGGTCGCTATGGATACAGCGAATTTGCGTATTATGTTAGATGATGACCCTGACTATATGGATACGCGTCCACAGCGCAACAAGCGCACAACTAACTCAAAAAGAAATAATAGCACGCAGAGCAACAACACAGAGCAGAAAAAAGATGGAGTAATTTGCTTGGATGATGATGATGATCGACCGAGTACTTCGGCTGCTGCAGCGGCAGCATTGGCCGCTAAAACAACGGCTGCTGGTGGTACATCAAAGGAGCCGACATCTCACGCCGTGGGCGGCAACAGCAGCTCAAACGCCAAGACCACAGCGAAAAATTCCAAAGGTCGCAAAGCACAAGATACACGCAAACGGCCCGCCCGTCTTCCGGAGACAAACAAAAGTAGCTCCAAAAAGAAGTCTACGGGCAAACAACAACAAAAACGTAAACAGCAACAACATTCATCAGATGATGAAGCGCCTGTAGCAGCGTCTGCTACTGCCACAGCGGAGCAAGTAAAAAATAAATCACCATTCATTTTGGTAAAACGTGACGGCAGTATAAGTGTGGTGAATGCGCCCTTGAATGCTGAGGATGTCAACGAAAAAAATGCAGGCGCAAGGCAAGTGAAGAAGCCCTCGGGTGCCGCTGGCTATGCGCACGATCGAAAGAATCTGCGCGGTCTCCACTCGTCGACGCTGAGCAACAAATACGATGCCGATACCACCGATTCTACATGGATATGTGTATTCTGTAAACGTGGTCCACATCGTTTAGGGCTAGGCGATTTATTTGGACCCTATCTAGTCTCAATCGATTGTGAGGAGTATAAGACAGCTGTGAAGGCGCCCGATGCCCTCGACGTTGATGCGATTTTTGTTAGCAAACGTAGACGTATCGATATGATACAGACAAATCCGCGCAATCTTCCTGTGGTACAGGCTAAAAACGCCAGCGCGCCAGTAGTTGGTGCGTCTCCTGCGACAATGTACGCCAGTGGCGCGGTGAGTACACCTACCACTTTAGATCAAAAACTATGCTACAGTGATTGCCTTTTGCAGGGTAAAAAGAAGAAGAACTCAATGGACACTAACACGCACACAGCTGGCATGAGTAACGCCGTGCCGATAATAGATCCGCTCGATTGCACTGCCGATGAGGTGTTGCAACAAAACTTCCAAGGCATGTCTAAAGTTTCGGAGAGTAGTTATGAAGTGTGGCTGCATGAAGATTGTGTGATCTGGGCGCCCGATGTATATTTAGTTGGCGCACGTGTAATGGGACTTGATGCGGCAGTCTGGACCAGCACTAACTATTATTGCGTATTGTGCAGTAAACCGGGTGCCATTGTTTGTTGCCTGCAACGTGATTGCAAAGCGGCAGCACATGTGCCATGTGCACGAGAGGCTGGCTGGAGTTTGAATGAATTGACAATGAATGTGCATTGTCAACATCATTTGCCAGCAACAACACTAACCCCAACAATCGGCATAACAACTCTAGCAGCGTTAGCAACATTGCAACAACATACTTCTGCAAGTAGCAGCGGACGTCAATCGGGTTTAAAGAATTCCTGAGAAACGCCAACACCGGAGAGTTGCCGTCCACGATCACGCGCACAAGCACGTGTGCGTCGTCAACGTTGCTTAGGGAAAGCGCCCGAGCAGCGTCGTATTAAATCGCAAGAAGATTAAACAACAATTTGAAGTCGGACAACATAGCGCTGTAAACCTATAATATCCATTGGATTCCAAAGAAGCGTACGGTGTGCTGATGCTTAACTTCTTTGCAAACTGGTAAACATTCGTTAGATTTAAGCGTAAACAATTTTAAGATGTAATAATAATAGTAGTGTACAATAGTAGAAACTTCAATTTTGCAATAATTACAACCGCATTAAACTCTATGCCCTTAGAATAAGTACACGTAAATCTCTCATGGCAGCAAATTGGCTGTAGAGCGCAAAACCAATAGGGAAAGGCAAACAATTTTATTTCAATACTTCTGTTTTTGTCTGTTTAGCATCAAATTGTTTTATTTTATTTTCTTCTTTGAGGGGAGATATAATCTATTTAACTGAAATGTTTATATCCAGTTTTTAATTCATAATTTTCTAAACATGATTTTTTTTTTACTTTTAACTAAACACTCTTGCATACTTAAAACATATATTATGGTAAGTTATTTGTATGTACATATATAAATATTGATAATTGGCATGAAAAGCAGTAACTTTAGCAAAGAAAAGAAGTGATTTTTAATGCTTTTAAAGGTAAGCGTTGACATTCGCATGCCATTTCTCTTACTATAAAAATAAAAACTTAAAATGAAAAAAAAAATATAAAAAAATAACTAATAATATATAGGTATACTAAAAATAAAAATTATTGCGTCATTAAAATGAAACGAAAGTTATGCTAAAACTTAATTCTATTGACCTGCAATTATTCTGTTATATTGGAAAATATTTTTAAATACTTAATTCTTTGACGCAGATGCAGAATAGATTTTTTTGTCTAGTAATTATTTTAATTTACGTTTTTCTGCACGTACTGTGAAGAAATCACTTGAAAGAAAACAACAACATTCAGGCCAATGCAATCTAAATACATTTCTTTACATTTTACTGTTTTTTTTTTTTATAAATTTATAGCAAATCTGTGCTTCTAGTTCCTTTCGAAATCAACTTTAAAAACTCATCGAAATAGCAAAGACAAATTAAGCAGACAAAAAGGTGATCAGCATGCGTAAAATTTGCAGAAAATTGCAATAAATATAATAACGAAAATAGAATTTAATAAATAATAAATATGTAGGTTAAATATCAAGTTCAGTTAATTTTGCAATTTTTCCAACAAATAAATTATCTAATTCAATTTCCAATACAAAGGTCGCTACCAAATCACAACAATATATATTATTTTGTATAAAATTAATTAAACTCAATATTATAGATGAAAAAACATAAATCATAAATATGATATATAAAAAGAAAATTAATATTAAGCATAAAAAATAGCATAAAAATCCGTTAAGTAAATAAAAAATATGGTGATGCCACTTTTGAGGTTTTAATAAATAATGTTTGGTATCTTTTTTTTTTTTGTTTTATTTAAAACAACAAATAAATATTTTTACTTTAGTTTTTATATTTATAATATCTGTAGTTGCTATAAAATATAATTACGAAGTGAAAATATTTAATTTCTATGCATGCGGTAAATATATAAATGCAAACACATAAATATTTAAAATTATAAACGATTAGCTTGTATTGTATAATAAAAATAAAAATAAAAATAAAAATAAAAATAAAAAATCCAAACTAGTAATATGGCAATATTACTATAAAAATATGGCAAAATCACAATAAAACAAGTAAATCAAATATATAAATAACTTTCTTTAATTGGAAAAAATAATCTACTGTAAACACTTTGACATAATATATATATTAAATACGCATAGTATAAAAACACACATGATATATAAACATACAACAACAATTAAACCGCAAAACTTTAATATTTATGTATTCGACTAATTTACTGTAATTATTGTACTGTAATTTGTAATTTGTAATTTTCAAATCTTACTACTACTTATTGTATTTATATACTAGTTATACGAACACTACACACACTCACACACAACAGTATAAACTAAAAGGAAAAAATGCAAAAACATGCAAATTAAAATGCTGTCTTAAACGTATGCAGTGTTTGAAAAATTAGAAATCTCAATCTTTTGATTAAGTGATTAATTGTAATTTTTAATTAATTAATACTAATTGATATTAAATTTAAAGCACACAAACAGTCACATACACACGTACACATCGATATAAATCTTATCACACTCATATAAATATATAGCTACATATAAATATTATACATTAAAATGTATACTAACGAAATAAGTTAAATAGTCGCATGTGCACAAAGATGTGCTAATTTGCAGGTGGTGAATATAAAGTAAAACACATGAGAAAAACAAAAAAAAAAACACGAAATGATATAAGGAAATGACAAAACAATATAATTGTGAAATAAATAAACTATATGCGTATTGTTTCTTTTAATTGAAAAAAAAAAAATGCAAGCAAATTATTTTATTTAAAAGAAGAAGGTGAGAAAAGAATTTATTTATAGAAATTTGCATAAATCAGAAGTGGAATATTCAACTTATGCTACAGAATTTTATGTATACAATATATACGTAAATACGAGGTGTGTTTAAAAAATATCGCGAATTTTGTATTTTTTCAAAAATTATTTATTTATTCATGAATATCTATTTTGTCCCCTTCAAAGTAATCCCCATGAGATATTATACACTTGTGCCAACGGTTTTTCCAATCTTCGAAGCACTTCAAAAAATCATTTTTGTTTATCTTGATCAGCTCCTCCTTCGATGCCGTCGTTATCTCGTCAATCGTAGCGTAACGTCGTTCTTTCATGGGCCTCTTCAGTTTAGGGAACAAGAAAAAGTCACAGTGGGTCAGATCTGGGGAATACGGTGGCTGCGGCATCATTAGTGTGTTGTTTTTGGCCAAAAAGTCGCGCACAAGCAACGACGTGTGAGCAGGGGCGTTATCGTGGTGCAAAAGCCAATTTTTGTTCTTCCACAAATCCGGGCTTTTCTGGCGGATAGCTTCTCGCAAATTGCGCATAACTTGCAGGTAATATTACTTATTGACCGTTCTACCCTGTGGCAAGAACTCATGATGCACCACGCATGTAATAATAAGAAAAGGAAAAACGTGTTTTTTTTATTTATTCGTTTATTTCAATAAAAAATAAATAATACAACTATTATCGATTTATCGACTATATCAAATCGAATATACTTAAAAAATAATAAAATTACTTAAAATTAATGGCAGTAATGTTTGTTTACACGTACTTTAAATTGAACTAAAACATGAAAGTGAATAATTCAAAAGAAAAATAAATAAAAAAAATAAAAATACATTTATATTATAGGCAATAGATTTATAGGAAACACAATGTCATACTTCCAATCGAGAAGGCAAAAAAATAATTGCCTTTTTGCCCAACTATTCCCGCTGCGTACTTTTGCTCGCTATCCCTGTTATGGCATCTCTAGTGGTATGCACGCATTATTTAACTTTGCGTAATCGCCGTAAAAAATGCGTTATATCATTTGGTAGACGACCGATGCTGCTTAGTGGCACATCGTAAGAACTCACGCCATTATAGGCACCGCCAGCGCCGCTGTTGTGATCGTGAAAAATGCTAGCACTTTCACTTTCTGCTACATCCACAACGTCCATTCGACGTTGTGCTGTCAGTGTTGGTGCTGGTATAAGACCGGCTGTGAGCGCTGGTAGTTGTACATTGAAGTGCTTGTCGTGTTCGGGTGGCACGATGTTATTACTTAGTTCGTTAAAGGCCAACTGTTGTTGTGGTCGCGTGCCACTGGCTGATGTGAAGAAAGGTGGGAATTGTGGTTGTTGTTGTTGTTGATTTTGCTTAAAGCTACTGAAAAAGTTAGATGTGATGAGTGAGGTTTGTTGTTGTTGTTGTGGATAATATAATTGGTTTGAAATTAATTGTTGTTGTGGCTTTTGTGCTGATGTTGGCTGCAAATAGTTTTGTTTTTGTTGTGTGTGTGGCTGATTTTGTTGTTGCGAAAATACTGTTGGTTGTTGCAAGGATTTTGCTTGCTGCTGATACGTTGCTTGGTATAATGTGTTGCCATTAAATTGCTGCTGTTGTTGTATGCTGTTCACTTTTGTCGCTATTGCCTTTGTAAATTGTTGCTGATATTGTTGCTCCTTCAATTGCTGTTGGGCATATTGTTGCTGTTGGTTTTGCTGTTGCTGTAGCAGTTGCTGTTGTTGTTGTTGCTGTTGATTTTGCTGCAATTGTCGCAGTTGCTGTTGCTGGTGTAACAGCTGTTGCTGTTGTTGCTGCTGAAATTGCTCACTAAAGGTTGGCTGTCGCTCCTTTTGAGGTTGCAGCGGTTGCGGAGCGACGCGATGATACAATGGTTGTATATTCTGTTGCTGTTGCTGACTTTGTGTTGCCTTATATTGCTGTAGTTGATTGTTGTAGTTTATGTTAGTTAGTTTCGTTGTTGCTGCTGCTGCATTCGTTTTCGTGAAACCTTGTCCGGTTTGAGCGAACTTTTTCGTGAGGAAATCATCGAGCGCCACATAGGGAGTTGACGGCGTAGTCTTAGGGGGGGGCTGTGTTGCCAACGCCGAAATTATAGACGTAAGAGAACTCGGTGCTATGCGTTGACCTTCGGCGCGCGCAATAACAATACTCGGCGCAGGCGAAGTAGGTGGTTGACGGTGCGGTTGTGGTTGTGGTTGTAGCAGTTGTTGCTGTGATTGCTGTGGTTGGCGCTGCGTTGACGTTAGCTGAGCGGTAGCTGCAAAGAGTAAGTGAGTTGGAAGGCGATATTTTGAGTTGAGTTGAATTCATTTCTTTTTCATCTTTTCAGTTAACGCATTAGAGTGCATTTGATAGGTTTGATGTGTGGGTGTGTATTTGTTTGTGTGCAAGTGAGTGCTTTAGATAATTCATAAGTGTGCGAACTCACCTTGCGGCGGCAGCTTATTATAGCTCTGCAACACAGCAAAGTTGCTAACAGCACGCGCATTGCTATCTAGGGCTAGCGAGCGCCCAACGGCGGCTGGTGTTGTATGATAGGCAGCAGGCGGACGGCTTAACTGCTGTTGTTGGGAGCGGAAATTCTGTAAAACGGAGTTATCAACAATGGCACGTGTTAGCTTGTTGAATTCGAGAAATGTTGGGGTATCATCTTGTGTGTAAGTGGCGCTGGGCGCATTGGAAGGTGGTGAAGAAAAAGTGAAATCAACGGCAGGTGCATTTGCAGAGGCAGAAGCAGAAGAGGAAGAAGATGAGCTAGAGGAAGAAGTCAAAGGAAATGTTTGGTAGGACTCAGGAAGACTCAGTGGCGCTTGCGTGTTTGTTGAAGATGAGGTGGAATAAGAGACCGATGAAGTGATCGATTTTAATAAATGATCTAGATTTGGTGTCGGACTAAGTAGGTATGGCGTGGTACTAGGTTCAGTCGATTGTGTAGTTGTTGCGGTTGCTGCTGTGGTCGTTGTTGACGTTCTGGTTGTTGTTGGAGCATAAGTTGTTATTGGCGTAGAAGTTGTTGTTGCCGCAGCACTTGCTTGCGTTTTAAAATTAGCGAAACGATTACGTGAACGCAGCGCACCGCGACGCGTTGAAATAGTCTCCGAGCGTGCAGGTCTAGAGGTCGTTGTGGTAGTAGAAACAGTGCTTGGCTTGCGGCTCACTTGAAAGCGTCTCAAGTTATTACGCACGGTGTCCCAGCTTCGCACTGTGCTGCTGCTGCTCTCATCTTCCGCTGCTGGAGCGCTCGTGGTGGTGCGCTTATGTGCACTATCACTGTCGAAGGAATTGCCGCGCCCGTCATAACGTTTGCCGCCATCGACATTGCCAAGCTCCTTATCTATATTGCGCACCGCAATTTTCCTGCTCGTTTGCGATGATTCAATATCATTGTTGTTGCTATTACTATACTCTACAGTGGCCGAATCAGTGGTTGTGCTTATGGTTGTGTTCGCAACGCGATTGTTCGCCGCCGAGAGACGCGACAAACGTAGACGACTTGCTGCGACACGCTTTAAGTAACTACGCGTTGTTGTTGCTGTTGTGCTGCTGCTGGGTGGCTTTGTTGTTGTAGTTTTTGACTTTCTACCCGAGTTTAGTTGATTATGCTGCAAATGAGCTAATGGTTTGACAGTTGCGCGCTGCTGCGACGCTAAACGTCGATAATTGCGTATGCGCTCTTGGAAGCTGCCGCCTTCGCTGAGGCTCGCTACGATGCTCGTGCTAGTTTCAGGCTGTGCGGTTGTAGTTGTAGTAGTACTTGAAGAGGTGCTAGATACGTCGTCCGGATCGACAATGTCTGAGTTAGTTGCTATAGTTTCATCGTCCACATGTATGAGCAGTGCACCAGCTTCGCCGATTGTTGGATCCAGCCTAGCACTATAAGAACCTCTCGACCTGAGTGCGTTTGCATCGTCTATATGATTGTCATGTTTTGTCAGTTTAACGCCAGCCAACAGGAGCTTGGCCGCTTGATCCTCAACAGTCAATTTCTCTTCATCAACAATTGGCGGAAATGTGTGTGCAATTGGATGCTCTCTGGCGGTGTTTGCTTTACGAATTGTTGCACTAGTTGTCGTCCCTCGTGATTGTGTTGGAAAGAGTAGCTGCTGCACAACGTTTGCATACACATCCGCAGACTCGTCGATTTCTTGAGACTGTGGCGTGGTTGCGCTCACCGTGCTCGTTTCGATTAGCGCCAAGCGACTTAAACCCTCATCCATGTTCGTCGATACTTCCGTAACGGTCTGCGTTGATCCACTGCTGCCTTCAAAATTACTAAATTCATATAATGTCGGCTCGTCAGCTGTAGACGACTCAATGCCACCCTCTCCCGACTCTGACGCGGGAGGACTCAAGAAATTATAATCTAAGTTTTGTGATAATGTGCTCACATTATTTAAATAATAACGCTCTGAATTAACGTAAGTCGGTGCTGCCGTAGTGGTGACGTTAGACTCTTCGGTAGTATCTCTCAGAGACAAGCCATCGCCAACTTCAATTATACTTGCCCTTACTTTGGCAGTGGTACTCGTAGCAGCTTCTTTCGGTATTTCGGTCGACGCAACTGACGTGGATGTGGGAGCGGGTGTGGTGGTCATAATAATAAATTGCATTGTCTCAACGTTACTCTCAAAAGTGGTGCCATTGATATCCGCTGAGCTCACCGTTGGTTTTGGTTTTGAGAATTCTTTAGTGTCTTTGTAAGTATCGTCGATGGGTAGCTCGTTAGGCTTCAAGCGTTACAATTAGTGTGTCGGTTTGTTTTTTATGTGTTTGATTGATGATTTTTAGCAGTGTTTTGTAGGTGTGTATATCATAGCAGTAGAGTGGTGAAAAGTGCAGCGTGAGAGTGGTGATGTTGAGTTAAATGCGATAATGTTAAAATTAGAGAGAAAGAAGGAGAGAGTAGAAAGAGAGAGAGAGAGAAATATGATATAAAGTCTAGTAGAGAAGTGCAAAATGGTGAAATATTAAAATAGAGTGGCGAATTTCAGATTTAAAGATTAATTAAAATTATGAAACAAATTAAATTAGTATGAAATTGAAAATAACATTATATTATATATCGATGTTTTTAGGCCTGTCTGCAACAAAGACACTCTCACCTCTCTCAAGTCGACTGAGAGATATGAGCTTCTGTCTGACTGCTATATTATGCTATCTATAATTCAAGTCATGAGCGGCTGATAAATAATAAGAGAGAGTTGCGAAGGCCGTTAGTAACTTTTTTAATGTTAGAGGAATTCTCTGATTTCGTGTCTTTTTTATATAAAATATCTTTCGATCGAAATTGAAGAGAGTAAAAAAATTACTTTCCTCCGTGGAGAGTGAGAGTAGGGTAGCTCAAGATTAAGGCCTGAAGACTGACGGATCCAACTATGCGAGCTGGTAACAATTTTTGTGTGACGCCCTCACGTGGCGAAGGCATATTCTCTCATTCCTTTCCTTTCATAATATTGGAAAAGTGATTGGAGAGTGTGACACTTTGACAGAAACGTGAATTAAAGGCTATTATGTGTAAACTGGATACCTCGAAGTGTAATTCAGGACTACATATAGACTTAACATAAAGAGAGATAGAAAAGTTTTCACTGATGTCCCACAAATTACATTTTATCATAAAGCAAATCCTTAGGTTCCCTCATTGTCGGAGAGAGTTATGAAACACAAAAACAGTCTCCGCGTGCTTACCGCATAAAAAGGCTCTGGACGAAGACCATATAGTCAACTCTCCCAAAAACTCCCAAAACTTTAGGTATTTTTTAAGGTCTTATTTGCCTTTGGGATTACTCGGGTATCACAAAGGCAAATCGCCTAGTTCTCTAACTGTATCTGTAAGCCTTTTTAAATGTTGGTTGGGTTTGATAGAATACAAATAATATATTTTTATGTTCCAAAATTTCAATATATAGAAGAAGAAAAGTATGCACTCACCGAAAACCGTATCGTACTTGCCGTCTGCTTAGGTTTGGCATACTCGTAGGGTGGTCGCTTCGAACGATCACTTTGTGATGAGAAACCGCGACTTAGGAACCTAAACGATGTTTTATTTCTCGTTGGTGCGGGTACTTGATAACCAGAAATGCTGGTATCCACATCAGCCGATACCTCTTCAAGTAAATTATTTATATTTGCGGCCAAAATTGCATCTTCGTCGGCGGTGCGTAAGTGTTTAACATAATCCGGTGCAATCACATCACCGGCAGCTGTGCCATCAGCGAGGTTATTCAAGCCAACATTGACCCTTTCAGCGAAATTTGCGTTCTTCTCATACTTGTACGTGCGACTGGGCGACTCGGCTATAATGCGCGCCGAATCATGCATGAAATTCACACCCGGATCAGAGGATAATTCTCCCAAACTATTCACATAAACATCTTCATCGTGTGCATTTCCTGTACCAACACTTTGCACTTTTGTCACCTTCGTCGTCTCAACTTCAGTTTCGGTGCGTTGTTGTTGGCGTTGTTGCTGTAGACGCTTGCGCTGTTGCGTGACTGTATCCTCTTGGTGCGCTGACTGTTGACTCTTCGAAACCGATTCGACCTGTGCACGTGTAACCGCCTGTTTGCGTGCCAGATAAGCGCGTTGACTGCTATCACGACTGGATTGTGTCTCCTCATCTGTTTCACTGACATCCGTGCCACCTTCGGCGAGCTCCAATTGTTTTTTCAGTGTGTGATGTGATACTTGTGGTGCAATCGGATGGTTTGCGACGCTGCTACCTTTATTTTGTAGTGCACGCGATATTGTCTTCATGGGGTATTCCATCATTTGACGTACCTTTTCCATCATATCATAACTGCTGCCGATACGGTTCGCATTATTTTTACTGTAATATTGCTCGGATTCAGCACAATTGACGTTGCGGTACCAATCGCAAACGAAATTCTTTTGACTGAACAGCGTTCCGTTCGGACAGAGGAAACCGAAGCCGTGCACACTGCGTGCTGTGTGCGCGCAAATGCGGAATGCTTGGCAGCGGGTCTCCATATCGGCGTAGTAGCCTGGAAAAGTGTTTAATGTTATTATGTAAATGCAAAAGTATTTCGTACGAAATCAATGTGGGGGAGTGTAGATAAACTTTCCTAGATTAACAAGGTCGCTTTTTAAGAAACTCAAAAACTAAAAACTCTAGATATATGCTTGTTATTCGGCAGTCTTGAGACAAAAATTAAAATAGGGTAAGCGTTGTTGTCTGATCTTTGCTGAAATACCGGCGGCCAAGGTTGCTCTGTGTTAATTGGAAATCAACCTCATTTTCAATAACCCAAGCTTCGTTCCTACCATTCCCTTCTCTACACCTACACTGTTTGGTTGACGAGCGGACCTTTCGGAAAACTTCTCTGGCGAGATTGACGGAGTTCCGATTAAGAGTCTATATTTGACTCATTTCGGCTGCTGCTAGCAAGTCATGAGTCTACATCTGTCTTCTCTGATGAACCCAAAGCCAGGGTTTTAGTGCTCGCTTATCTCACAACCACGTTTCACATGTCAACCACATCAAGTTAGTACAATAACTACACGTATACAGCGATAAATACATATACATGCAACTAGGAAATCGGATAAAATGTCAAGGAGTCCTTACCTAAAAGAATGGAGCTATAGCGATGCCGCCCTAAATATGTTAGGTTTCAGAAGATGGCGAGATGGGTGACACATTAGGAGGAGGCAAGGATCTACACCCTCTTTGAGAATGATAGGTAACTGAAGTAGGCTTTTCGATGATCTTAGAAGTATTGCCCCTCTTAGAAGGTAGCAGCGAGGACTTCCGGTACTTCCGGTACGAATACGAACGAGTATAGACAAACCTAAGCGAACAAGTTTCATAATTGCTTAATTTTTAGTATGAAGGCTCTAGGCTCTCAGCGGGATAACCTCAGCGACCAGAGTTCGTTTTAACTCTAGCTCAGAGTCCGGGCCCAGAATGATCCGAATTTTAAGAGTTATTTTTCACTGAACTACTTTGGTATATAGTTCAAGTAGCGAGAAACACTCAGGCCCACAATTTAAAAAAGATTTTCTAACTCAAGTTGTCTCGAAAAGAGAATTTAAAGTCTCAAAATATAGAGTTTGCCTGAGTAAGAATATTTACTATTTCGTGATAAGACTCACCTTCATGCCTTCCTGCACACTCAAAGCTCGTTTCCGGCACTTCACTGTAAATGGGGTAATCGACTTCAGGCTCACCGGGAATCGTATGACGTAAATCGAAATGTTGATGAGCATTAATGCTAAAAGGAAAAACATAAAAATAATAAAGAAAAATATTTATGACATAAAAGCAACGAAAGGTCAATAGTTTAGAGAGAGTTTTATGAGGAGCTTTTTATTTCGCGTCATAAATACTCATGGAGGCCTTGACATTCGCTGACCAATGGCTGCAATTATTAAGAAAAATAATTTCCAACTTTTTCCTTTCCGATGTTTGTTAAGCCGGGCAAACACTTGGCTATTTATTGAACTAAATTTTAGGAAACAAAATTACCTCGTATCATCATTTGAAGTTTCCGCATCCTCGAAGGTGCCCTGCGCCTGACACACACCAAACATCGCCACTAGCAGCAGCGCTAATGGTAGACCTTCAAATATGCAGATATGACAAAATTTAGTTGATATGAAAAAAGTATTTAGCATCACATTTCTTTCATTTTCAATAGACTAACCAAACATTTTAGGTCTCCTCATAACTGCCGTAACTATCTGCTACAAGTCTGCTCTGCTCGAATTGGCCACACGTTGATTATTCTGCAATAAAGAGATTCAAATTAAATACTTTTGAAAATAAAAACATCTCTAAGTTTATTTACAACGAAGAAATCCGTTTTTATTGATTAGCTACACCACCGCTACTTAATAAATATTAAACAAATCAGGAAGATAGAGGAAAAGATATTTGAACAAAAAAGAAAACATCTGTTACAAGCGCGCATCCGCAACGTCAACCCAACCAGCAATGCATTATATAATCATGCAACAATTCCGTCGAAACACAAGTTATGCTAATTCAAATATCTCGTACAGACGTACACACAAATATATATGTAGAAAGATGAACAAAATTAGACGCAGAGGCGTCAACGAAATGCATGAAACATCTTTTTTCTGAAAAAATAAAATTGCTTTTTGATTTTCAAACAAGATATTTTATTATGCAAATGCCCATATAAATAAATTATACACACATAAATACATATGCCCCATCATACGCGTGTTGTAGTTTACGTCCGCTTGGGTGATTTTTTGTGATTTTACACGCAATCAATGAACGCACACATATGTATTTGTTTGTAGGTTTGTGTGTTTGTATGTCAACGCCTAACTAACAGTTTGCCTCATCATCACCGGCATCATTATTATCAACGCTACCGACAGCGCGAAGCTATATAACTGTATTAAAAATATTTTTGGTTGCCCTTTTCCCAACGCACCTCAAACACTACCTTTTTTCACAAAAAAAGAAGCGATCTTATCGCTACAAATTGTCGCAACAATAAAAAATAACAATAAATAAACAAAAAAAAGGTAGAAAGAAAGAAAAGAAATGAAGCAAAGAAATGCAGTGTGATAACTTGCTTAGTATTACTTAATAAGCTTACAAAATTCGTCTCGCTTTCGTTGGCGTGACAATGACAATGACTTACTATTGACACATATTTATATTACAATAGCTTAGATTAACATAAATAAATATTTGCAATTTATTAATTTAGCATATGGACTAATTTGCAAATTATAACATAAGAGGTGAGTGTAAGAAAATAAAAATAATAAATAAATAAACAAAAATTAAATTAAAATATATAAGAAATTTAAAAAAATAGTAAAGTAAACTAAATAAATAAAATAATTTAAATTGAAAAAAAAGAATTAAGAGAAATACAATAAAATATAAAAACTAAATTAAAATTAATTAAAATAAATAAAATGAAATAAAAAACAAACTTAAATAAAGTAAACCAAAATTAAAAAAAGGAAATAATTAAAGTGATATAAAATATAAAAAATTTAAAATTAATAAAAGTAAACAAGAAAAATTAAAACACAATTAAAAAAAATAATAATAAAATAAAATAAAATATAGCACAATTAAAACTAAAATTAAAATTAAAATTAAAATTAAAATTAAAATTAAAATTAAAATTAAAATTAAAATTAAAATTAAAATTAAAATTAAAATTAAAATTAAAATTAAAATTAAAATTAAATCAAATAAAGTAAACAGAGTTTAAATTGCGTACTGACATTCGAAAGGCTCGGGTGAAAGTCCCGGTGTCACCAACGTCAAAAAAAAAAGTTTTGGAAAATTAATTTAAATAAAAAGTAAGCTAAAAGTTCTAATTGCGGTCGCCCCTCGACGGGGAGTGTCCACCCCTCCGAGTGTATTTCGGACAGGAAATAAAGCTCCTCATAAAAAAAAAACAATCAGCCGTTCGGAGGCGGATTGGTATAAACTGTAGGTCCCTCCAGTTGTTGGAGAAACATCAAAATTCAAAACCACAAATTGCAGGAGGAGCTTGGCCAAAAATCGTTTCAACGGTTACAAAGCGCCAATTTTATATATATAAAGAAAATTTAAAAAAATCAAAAACTTATTTTACTGAAATAAAATAAAAAGAAAGAAAACAAAATTAAATTAAATAAAAATTACATACAATATAACAAAATAAAACAATTCATTATATAAAGATTACTAAAATAAAATATAGTTTGAAAAAAAATAAACTATGGTGAAGTAAAAGAAATTAAAATAGCAAAAATTAAAATAAAATTAAATAATAAAAATAAAGTAACACTCTTAATTTAAAAAAAGAAAATCGTAAAGCAAAATATAAAATTAAAAAAAGCAATATAATAAAAATTCAATTAAATTAACTAAAATAAATAAAATAAAAATTACAAAAAATATAAATAAATAATAAAATTAAATGATAAAAAGGTAAATAAAACAAAAACTAAATTAATTAATTAATTAAGAGAAAGGAAAATTGAACATGATGTTGAAAAATAAAAATAAAATAAATCAAAATAAAATAAAAAACGCAAATTAAAAATTAAATAAAACAAAATAAAATAAAATTATAAAAAGTGAAATCAAAAAAAAATTACACACAAATAGAATCAAACAAAAAATAGATCAAAACCAAATAACTAAAATAAAACAATTAAAATGAATTGAATGAAATAAAATGAGGCGAAACAATATCAAAATAAAACAAAATAAATTATAAAAAAAAATTACAAAAAAAGAAAAAAATTAATAAATTTAAAAATATGATAAAACAACAAACTATTTAACTAAAAATAAAATTAAAAACTAAAACAATAACAAAATAATAAAAAAAAATAAACAAAACAATATAAAATAAAATAGAAAAAAATTTAAATTAAATTAAACCTAATAGATAAAAAGAAAAAACAATTTAAATTACATTTCATAAAATAAAATAAAAAAAGAAGCGAAATAATATCAAAATAAAACAAAATAAAGAAAAGTTATGAAATATATCAAGATTCAGTAAAGTAAAAATGAAATACAGCAAAGTAAAATATGATTTAATAAATTAAATAGAAAACTAAAAACGAAAAAAATAATATTAATTCAAATTAAAAAAAATACTATCATTTTAAAGACAAACACAAATAAAATAAAAAATATAATGAAATAAAATAAAAAACCGTAATTACTTGAACCATACTTGCGTTGTTGGACTTGGTTTATTTGCCAAAAATTCCCTAAACATATTAATATTTTAATAATCATTGCTATTAACAAAAAAAGAAGAAATTAGTAAATCCTCGATTAATAACAAAATCTTACACAACATACAATATTTTATTAAAAGGTATATTATTAAAGTCAATGGACAATAAGTTTGTATTCTTTGTGACTCCACTTCACTATGGAGGGTTATGAGATCGTTTGTAATAAAGAAATTAATGTCAGCTACATATTTAATTAAAGAAATTAAGACTTTATAACACTTTTCATATAAGAGCACATTTGCCCTTAATCGTTTGCAACGTTTAAGTAGTTTATTGCCCTTAACATTAATGCGAGTGTTAATAGAATGCCTGCGGCAAAATGCTCTACGCGTAACATATAGAAAAATGAGAAACAGTTAGCTTTACATAAGTTCATCTTTATTTATTATGGCAATTGTTTTGACGCTTTCTAACCGAGCCAGTGATTAATTGTGGTTAAAAAGAAAGATTTTGAATATGAAGACTAATAAGAAAATTTTTGGAGAAATATGTATAGTTTATTTAGATATAAAAATAAAAAAAAAAACTTTGTTTAAGACAGTTAAACTTTTGTTTTAATATAAAACTGTAAATTGATACATAAAGAAATACTCACATATTACACTCTAAAAACAGTTTTGATGAAACTTTGTGCTATACCGGGCTGTGTACAGTATTGAAAAGTTATGAGAGCTTCAGTGATAATCAATAAAAATTCCTCCATGTTAAGATAAGTTTCTTTGTAAACAAGCATTCATTTTTTATTATACGAAATATTTAAAATTTTTATTTTTGTTTTTCAGCAACCAAACACAAAGCAATGTACACTTCAATTGCACAAAATAATTTTGTATTAATTATAAAAAATACTTGTTATGCATAATAACAACATTCAAATTAACAATACATGTGTATACGAAACACCCACTTGAATGCCTCCATAAAAGCGGAAACAAAAGAAGAAATTTCCATAGTAAGTTAACAACAAAGCTGAAGAAGAATATACAAAAATATTTACAAAATAAAATATAAATAAAATATATACACTCAACTTAAAAAATAAAATATATGTATATATATGTATCTGCGTGTATAGGTTAAAAACAATATTGAATAAAATTAGCGAAAATTCCATGCAAAAATAAATTATTTTTAATTATTAGTACCCAACCAATTGGGATGGCAAAGTAGCTACTTGAACATTTAAAACATAATGATCAATACATATAATTGGTTAGCCGACACTTGAAATAAATTGTTTGTAGGCAATCAAAATTTTGCTATACATCTCGTATATAGTATGCGTGGCGTATTTAATAAAGTTTTTATAATTTTTAGAGGCATAAAAGTCTTTTTTTAATTGTCGCTAATTTGCTGAAAATGTATAAAATAATTATTTTAGCGAATTTAATTTTAAATACTGACTTTTTCCTACATTTGAATTTTAAATTTTGTAATATATATTCGATTTTTAATTTCATTTGCTTATATAAGGTCAATGCTAACATTATATGTTTGAGCGATTATTGTCAAATATGTATTGGCCAAATTGTTTTCTTTTACTAAGTTTTATTTTTTTTTTATGTAAGAAAATTTGTTGTTGGCTGTTTGTAATTGTCTGAAATTATCACCTCAGTTTTTTTAATGCCTTAACACTTAAAAAGTTGAAGAAGCGTGCAGCGTGATTATCAAACAAAAGACTTAAGACACGAACTTGCCTGAGGAACTATTTATTTGTGCGTGTTACTCTTTCTCATATTTAATTTATANCTGCACACTCACCCTATATTTAATTTATATATATATATATATATATATATATATATATTTGCGTGGTTGCATTGGTAATAAACATGTACATTATAATTTATTTTATAGTTTCAATATGTTTTTTGCCGTATTGGCTGCATATTTTTCCATTCATAATGTACTTGTGCTCAACATAAGATGCATTTTTGGCGATATTTAAATTGTAGCACCTTTTAATGCACATTTTATGGGTG